CTCTCTCTCTCTCTCTCTCTCTCTCTCTGTCTCTCTGTCTCTCTCTCTCTCTCTCTTATTTAGGCCTCAGAACTTGCAACTTTAATTCAGACAAAAAGGGAACTTGGTTGTAGAGCGACTTATATACAAACCATTGAAGAAGGAATTAATACACACACTCATGTAGCCAAAGACTTCTGGAAGCTCCTGGGTGGCCAAACCAGTTACCAATGTAAGAGTTCTGTGTTTAAGAGACTGAGACGCCTTGAATGTCCTTTTTCTGTCCCTTGGTACATTCTTCTAAACCAGCTGCTTTCTGACATACAATGTGATGCTTTCTTATTGTTTTGGCCCCAAAGCTGCTGGCGACCCAAAGGAAGACGAGCTGTACGAGGCGGCCATCATAGAGACAAACTGTGTTTACCGTTTGATGGATGACAAGCTCGTCCCCGACAATGATTACTGGGGTAGAATTCCCAAGTGCTCCCTTTTGCACCCAAAAGAGGTACGATGCTTGGAGTGGCCAGCTTTCTTGTTGCCAGGCAAACACACCTGACATAGGCAACTTCCCAGAGGAAGAATTCGTTTGGACTCATGGGTTCAGGGGTTGCAATCCATGGCCACCTGGCTCTGAGGCAGAAACATCAGAATTGAAGAGCCTGGCAGAGGGAGCTGCTCACCTCATGGTCACTGGAAGGCTGAGTAAGCAAGGAAAAACCAGAGAGAAAGGGGCCAGAGAACAGAAATGGTCCCCAGGGTCATGCCCCCTGGGCCCTCAGACACACCCACAGCATGATTTACAGTCTCCCAGGCACATCTCAAACCAGCCAAATTGACAGTCAAGATTAACCATCACAGTGCTTGAATAGGACAACACACTTAGAGCATTCTGCCTAGAGGTATCCAATAAAATGGATAGGAAGTGTACAGAGAAGGGTTAGTCAGACACTGAAGCTCCCATTACTTCCATTTGAGATACTAATGCAGAAATCAGAATGTTAGGGCCAGTGGTATAGCTCAGCGGACTAAGCACTTGCTTAGGTAAATACAGGGGCCAGGGTTCGATCCCTGGCCCTGCATGCTGCACCAGTTCTGACCCTGAGCACGCTGAGCCAGCAGTGGAGTCTGAGCATGGTGACACATGCCTAGAATCCCAGTACTATGGAGGCAGAAATCAGGAGGATCACTGAGTCCAAGCTGCATAGTGAGACCCTACACACACACACACATACACACACACACGCGCGCGCGTGCGCGCGCGCGACATCAGAATGTTGTCCAGGGATGGCATAGATCATGGAAGACATATTTTAGGCAAAATGTGTTATTTAGCCCTATCTCTTGAATTTTGTAAGTAAAATATTTTTAGTTCGCAACATTCAGCAAAGATAAATGGGTGTATGTATAATACGGATATTCCAAGTAATGTGATTCTTTTCTACTGTCTTCTATGGAAGACATTTAGATGGAATAAAATCACAGACAATGAAGTAGTGAGGACTAATTTTTAAAAGAAAGTGGCATTGAGCCTAGTTTAGAATTAAGTAGAATTAGGATTGCTGAAATAAAAAATTATTTTAAGAAGAAAAAGTCCAATAAAGCACAGACGTGATAATATTATGTCCATATATTCATTCAGCAAACCCCTAGAAGAAGTAGAAGTATGTTATGATTCCTGCCCTTGAGGCTCTTGGAATTGTTCAGAGGAGGATAATGATTTCTGACATGTATCGGTACCTGGCATTTATGAAGTGACCTATATCATTCATGTTAAATGAATAAAAGAACTAATATGGAGGGAAAAGCGGGGGCAAGGGAGGAAAGAAGGTAAAAAGATAATGGGTGTGTTAGCCAGGTTTCTGTCCTTGTGACAGAATACCTGAGAATAACCACTTACTGGAGGAAAGGTTTATTTGGCATATGGCTGCAGAGGTTTCAGCTTATGGTCAGCTGGCTCCATGACTTTGGAGACTGAGAGGAAGGGGCTAAGGACAAGGGAGAAATCCCCAAGATCACCCATGCCCTCTGGCTAGGCCTCATCTCCTGAGTTTCCATTGCCTGCCAAGGATGCCGTGCAAGGCACTGATTAACTTAGGATCCTCGTGATCTGAGCACTTGGCGAAAGCCCCGAAGCTGCCAACCAGACCCCAATCGGTGCTTCAAACAGGAACCCTTTAGAATTAAACCATAATAAGTGATTATGAGTTCAGAGGAGGAGCAGTTTACTTGAGCATTAGGACAGTGAGGAGGAAATCACCCCACAAGGCCGTGGCACAGCTTAGATTGTGTGACCTTTCTGTAGTGACTGTCTGTCTAGGAACCGTATTACCATGACCCATCTCCCTCACTGGCCTCGCAGACCCATCCACCAGGGGCAGGTCCTTAAAGCTAACAAATTCTTGTTCCATTTTCCCAGGTCCTTGTGTTTGATTTTGGTAGTGAAGTTTACGTGTGGCATGGGAAAGAAGTCACCTTGGCCCAACGAAAAATAGCATTTCAGCTGGCAAAACACTTATGGAATGGAACCTTTGACTATGAGAACTGTGACATCAACCCGCTGGACCCTGGAGAATGCAACCAGCTTATTCCCAGGTACGCCTGCAGCCTGGGCAGCATATGGCAGAGCGAGCAGGCTTGGCTTACAAGCCTGGTTCTTCCCACACAGTCTACTTATTGCTCTTTATGTAAAGGTTTTAGTGTCATAAAAGATTCCACGGTATGGGCCATGAATAGTCACAAAAGGAGCATTTCTTTCACTTCTACCAATCAAATGCAGATGTGTTGTAGTCTGCAGGAAGCTGTTTGTGTCACACTTAATTTTTTGAAGCGAATGGCAGATGCCCCTTGCCACATTCCAGGTGCTGCTGCAGCAAACAAGCAGCAACTGTTTAAACAAATTACACCCTGAAAAGCTTCCTAGGATCTGGAATTCTGCCAGTTGATCTGAAGGTGCAGAAGTGGCCTGTTTCCTTCTAATTTCATTCCTCTACCACGTAGTGTCTCAGGATTCTTTTGCCAGGGGATGCTGTTTATGCTTCTTGAGGTGGAACAGAGGAGGAGGAAATGCTTTTGAAATAATGACTACGTTTTTAGTATTCTCTATAGCTGACTGGGCTTTTAAAATTTGTATTGGCAGGGCTGGCGAGATAGTGCAGCAGTCTAAAGCGCCGGCTTAGGCAAGCTTAGGCAAGCACAGGGACCGTGGTTTCATCTCTAGCACCACATGCCACACCAGCTCCACCCCCAGGACAGACTGAAAAAAAAAAAAAAAAAATTGTATTGGCAAATCAGTAGAATGTATACAGACTGTAAGAAATATGTTCATGGGGACAAAAAGAATTATTACCTCCAAAGAAGTATTGCTTTTTTAACCACTAGACCCCTCAAAAAATGATTTCTATTTGTACCATATAATAAATTAGAATAGTTGTACCTCTATACAGCATAGAATTGTATTCAAATTTCAACTTTCCTACCTAGGTTCTTGCTTTAAAACTAAATTACTAGGGCTGGCCAGATAGCTCGGTGGACTAAAGTGCCTGCTTAGGCAGAGCACAGCAGCCAGGGTTCAATCCCTGGTGTGCCATACCGGCCCCAGCCCCGGGACACACTGAGATGGCGATTGAGAATGGGTGTGGTGGCACACACCTGTAATCCCAGTGCTTGGGAGGCTGAAAACAGGAGGATCACTATGAGTCTTATCTATGTAATGAGACCCTGTACTAAATACATATAAATAAATAAATTTAAATTACTGATTTCTTATCATTTTATTTCCAGAATGATTAAAAGTGAAAATTATGTCAGTGTGATAAAAATTTCAAATCCTTCATAAGCAAATGCCCATTTAACATTAGAAGTAACAACCAGGGTTGTAAGGAAGGAAAGCTAGATTATTTTATTTACTATAGTAAAATGACACTGGAGAGTAGAATCAATATGATGGTTAACTTATATTTGAGGGTGACATGATTACAGATCTGCGCGTGGGTGAGTGGCCACCTCACTCACTGTCACCAGCATTTCTGCAACAGATTCCATAGAGGAACTTAAAAAATGAAACGCACATGCGAGGCCCAGCCCTAGTGTCACTCAGTGTCAGTGTGTCCTACAAGCTCCCCAAGGACTTCTAGGGGCAGCCAAAACTATACACCCAGCCCTTCCTGACAGGAGGAGGCGGCAGCCGCCAGCTGTAATCCTGCAGCCCTGGGCCAAAGTGCAGTGTGGACAGAGCTGGACAGACCCTTACACCAAAGGCAGCCGTGTCTCCATGACAGCCCACGCAGTCGTCTCCCTGCTCTCCCTACAGCAGGGTAGAAGTATTTGCATTCTGTGCTTTATTGGCTCAGTTCCCTTAGAAACAGGATGCCTTCTTAATGCGATGTTGGAAAATGTGGTGTTGAACACATAGGTGGAGACTATAGTGTGGGCCTGGTGGAGCTGTGAGAAGCACAGCTTGGTCAGCTGGGACAGCGGCACTGCAGTCCCAGTTCACAGCACAAGGACTGATCTGGAGGAGAAGGACCTGCCTGTCATGCTGTGGGCTGTGCCCTCTGCAGCAAGCATTTTCTCAGGTAGACTGTTTTCTAAATGATGTTTTTGGTGCAGTGTCCAATCCTATAATCCTGGGACTATATCAGACCTCCTGTATTATGGAGCCTTCCCTGCCTGATACAAGTGTGTGAAAAATCTCTTTACACAAGATGAAAGCATAGTGTGTCCATTGTGTAACAGGAGACTCTGCCTGTCCTGGAGAGCTCTGTTGCAATAGAACAAAAAAGCATACAGGATTTGGGGCAAGCACCCTTCTCTCTGTTGATTAACCAGAGGACCCCTGGTGACACTTGCAGGTGACTAGGGTAGGCATAGTAAGCAAGTAGGATAAACATTTGCCAGCCCAGAAAATCTGAAAAATAAGAATTTTCTAGGATGCAAGTGACGCTTAGGCCCAACATGGTTCATGTCACACACCAACTACACTGACACAAAGCCTTGCAAAGCTCCTGGCTAAAACAATACAATGTCACTTAATTGGTAAAATAAGTGAAAATAAGTCATTCATTCTATATACCACTCATACAATATTTTCATATTTTTCAATAACTACACATTGTCATTGTTGTTGGGTTTTTGGTAGGTAGGGCAATAGTAGGAATTGAACCCATGACCTTCACACTAAGCTGCATCCCCATACTGTCAAAGGTTGGGCTCCAACTTTTGATCCTTCTATCCAGCCTCCTGGACAGCCGGGATTACAGGTGTGCACCACCACACCCAGCTACCATGTTTTAAACACTTTGTCTTCATGTAGAATGACTGCACTGTGTTCTTTTCATGTCTCCTTCTGCTCCACAGAAAAGGACAAGGGCGGCCTGATTGGGCAATATTTGGGAGACTTACAGAACACAACGAGACTATTTTGTTCAAAGAGAAATTTCTTGATTGGACTGAACTGAAGCGACCTACTGAGAAGAACAGCAGTGAACTTACTCAACAGAAGGTATTCCAGTGCTTAGAGCTCGGTGTGGGTCCCAGCAGAATGTGCCAGGGTGGTCAGAGGCTTCTCACCATGCACCACTAAAAGAGCAAAGGGACTTCCAATTACATCCTAAAACCCACTGCTGTCGCAGTGTTATTCAGGCCTCCCTCTAAATGCAGTCAGCAACCCCAAGGCAGAGTGTAAAAGCTGCCCTCTCCACTCTTCCCCATGACAGTAAAAACAGAGCTGTTGGGGTTCTGCCTTGGGGGCAGCATGCTTGCCTAGTAGGTGGTATGGGTGAGGCCCCCAGAGGGAGAGGAGGGAAAGGAAGGGAGAGAATAAAAGAAAACGAAAGGAAGGGAGAAAGGTCGGGCATGTAGCTAAGCACACTAGAGTGAGAGACCACTGAACACACATTCGTATGTTCCCCTGCAGGAAGATCCCAGGGCCGACGTCAAGCCCTACGATGTGACAAGGATGGCGCAGTTGCCCCAGGTGATAGCCGGCACCATCTTGGATGGGGTAAACGTTGGCCGTGGCTATGGCCTGGTGGAAGGCGATGACAGGAGGCAGTTTGAGATTGCTAGCGTCTCCGTAGATGTCTGGCACATCCTGGAGTTTGACTACAGCCGACTTCCGAAGCAGAGCATTGGGCAGTTCCATGAGGGCGATGCCTATGTGGTCAAGTGGAAGTACATGGTGAGCACCGCAGGTCAGTGACACTTCTGTCTCTCTGTGCAGAGCAGGGCTGGGGAGCAGGACTCACTGTGTCCTGGGGCCCCCATGGCACGCATGCCGGGTGGTGAGCTAGCTATATACCACTCAGGCCCACCTAACAAGCTCCACAGACAGGCAGTGAGGCAGGAACCTCCCTTCCTAAGGTCACCATGTCTCAGGTCTCTGGTTCTCACTGACAGAAAGCAAACCTGATACTGTAGGTTTTTCCAAGGCCCTCACTGAGTCCCCTGTCCAGTCCCCACAGGTTTTCCAGGAAGGTGGCAGTCTGCCTCCAAGTGATCACTTAGCTGTGTGCTTCTCCAAGAAGTCACTGAATAGACTACATCTTGATGACTTAAAGGGGGACCAAAATGGTGATGTTACATTTTAGTAAATACACTAAGAGGTTGATTTGTGTATGTTTTTCAACGTGAGAGGTCTGGAGCAGTGGCTCAGTGGCAGAGCACTGGCCTAAAACAATCCCCAGCACTGTAGAACAAAAATAAGGATCTGTTTCCTGTGGCTATGGGAGCACTGGCCACATTTTGTGGGTCAGACTCCTCATAGTTCCTGTAGGTGGGATATTCTGAGGTATTCTAGTTCGCTGTTTCACACTGGAGGCCTGGAAGAGAAGGTGGGCCCTGTGCACTTTGCAGCCTGGGTCCACTTCTGTATCGAGTGGTAGCCATGGTCCACAGTGCTCCCCACGAGGGAGGAGAACGCTCCCATCACAATGCTATGACTTTGGGACTCACCTCACTAAAAAGCTTACTGACCTTGCAGTGCCATCCTGGAGCCTCAGGAAGCACCAGTGTTTGCAATAGAGAACCCTTTGATTTCTTTTTCCTGATTTATCAGAGATAAGTGTGTTAGCCAGTGGACATCATTCACTGAGCACTGACCCTGGGACACCCTCTGGGAGGGACTGAAGAGGTCAGACCCTGCCTCCAGGTGGTGTGTAGTGTAAGGACAATGAAGCAAGCCTAGGAGAGGGAAGATTCACCATGGGAATGAGGAGAGCGAGTCCCTTGACGTGGGCTCTGCCAGCAGTGTGGAGGCCCCACTGGGAAGCCACTAGACAGGCATCACCAGCAGGGTGGGCTGGTGTGGTGAGAGCGCTGGGCTGCAGCTTGGGTCATCCCACTGGCCGTGAGGTGTGACGTGGTGACTCCCATTACACTAATTTCTCAGATGAGCAGCAGAACACAAAGAATGAATCACCTGTCTGAAATCTGCCAGTAGGGGGCAGAGTTGGCCACTAAAGCCCAAGCTGGCTCCTTTCCAAAGCCAAGTGTGTTGGGACCCTGCAGTGCTGTTCATGCTGCAGGAGGGAGGCAGAATCTGAGCCCCAGCACAGGATTTAGGGTGATAGACATTGGCCAGGCACCAGGTCACAGTGAAGCCAGGTGCAGGGCTGAGCCACCGAGCACAGCAAACTTCCTAAATAGCGCTGAGCAAAAACAAGGTCTTAGAGGACCTCTGCTTCCAGGCAGGAGTAGGGTATAGGACAGAACAGGTGGAGGGGCATTATCCATCTATCTCTTTCCTTCACACAATCAGAACTGCACCTGACCCTTCCCCAAGGAGACCACTCCCCTGTAGGAGAAGCCATGGGTTCCAGAGCATCAGGCTGAAGAGTCAGAGGCCGGGGCCTTGCTCACAAGCTGTGCGTGTTGGCCGAAGGAGCACAACCTGCCTGGCTTTGCCTTCTCCCTAGTCACATGTCATCTGGAGTGTGTGACCTTAGTGCCGTGCCTGATATGTGTCCAGGGGGATCTTCCTCGCCCAGTGGCCTAATCGCCGTCTTTAGCCAGAAGCCAGGATCATGTGAGCCTAGCCAGAGTAACACAAATCCCAGACCTCAGCTCCCTGGTGTGACGCAAACAGCAAGCAGACGTGATAATCTACACTGCTGGTGGTGATGAAGACAATAGTAGGGAATCCAGCACGCCCGGGGCGGCGTCTACAAGGCTGTGGAGTTGTGCACTGAGGAGCTTGGAGTGGAAGGCTTTAGAGGCACTTGCATTTCCCAAGATGCAGAAAGGGAAAGACATGTTTGCTAAAACAAGACAAAGGGACAGCATAAGTTGATACGTGGTCACTCTTGTCTCTGCTGTAATGAAACGGAAGCCATAAGTGAATAAATGGCTAAAGGTGTATTGAAGTTAAGGTTTCCAAGATTTTCATTGACTACACACTTGGAGGCTCCTAGGAAATAAAGATATGACCCAGGCAGTCCCTTTTAAATTTCTTCCCAATAAACACACTGTACATCTCACAGCCAGCTCCAGCAGTATCTTTATGAGCAAAGTTACAGCTTTGAAAGACTCCAGCTGCAGAGAATGAAGTTAGAGCACGAGTGTTCAGGCGCCAGCACGTCCATGCAGAAGCAGAGCAGCCAACCCAGCGTCTGCAGTCACTCTGTGACCATCTGAGAGGCCCTGGTCCTTGGTGCCTGCCAGTCCGGCTGCCCAGCACTCATCCCCCATCAGAGTGCACCCAGGAATGAGACAGAACTCAGAGCTTGGGGCTCTCGTCTTGGTCAGGGTGAGCGAAAAACGGCTGCTGTAGAGGGAGCAGGCTCCTCTTAGAGGGTGCTGACAGCCCATGTGGGTCACCATCTGGCCTGCCCCAGGGCCGTCAGGGTGCAGCTGTGTGTCTCTGCAGGGGCAGAAAGCCCAGCCGGAAGAGCTCATTGATTTGAGCTCATGCTATCTCAAGCAGTGATGTGTACAGTCAAGTTCCTAGATAACTCTGCTTATCAAAATGCTTTAGGAATTTAGAGATTCATTTGTGAAAACTATTAAAGAGTACTTTACTATGAAAAGGATAAAAAATCAAATAGTATGGCCCCTGACCTCTTAGAAACTCCACCAAACAACTCAAGTTTCATAAGTGGTGTTGAAACAAAAAAAGATCAAAGTCATGCAGGTCCAGAGAATGTTGTTGTTATCATTAATTTTTAATTTGTATGAGTGTTAACACCAACTACATTTTACTCTTGTGGACCCCTTGCTCATCAGGTTCCTGTTACTATAACAAAGTACCTGATATTACAAACCTTTAAATAAAAAAAGTTAATTTGGGCTCATGGTTTTAGACGTTCTAGTCTATGGCATTACTCTGGGCCTGTGGCAAAGACAGCACATCATGGCAGAGGGAAGGTGAGAGATGAAAGTTCATGTCATTGCCTGGATATGAAAAAGTGAGAGAAAAGAAGAGGTGGGGTCCCACTCTCACCTTCAAGCTGTGCCCCCAAGATCTAGAAGACCTCCCACCAGCCTCCACTTACCTACCTTCTCCGAATGATGTTGCCTGAACACAATCTTGTCTACCCTTACCTAGCCAGGTGTCATGGTGCCGTTCACTCTGTGCATAACACTTATCACTATCTGAAACTGTCTTCCTGGTCTATGTGTTTATTGGAATGAACAGCCTGCAGTGTTACACAGCTTGACCATTTAGCCAGATAACTGTGATGGCCTTCAGAGCCATGCTTACATCTGCCTCCTCTGCTGCCCATGTCTGTTGAGTGCTCATAGGGTGCCAGACAGGAGGGACACCCAGCATCTCTGCCTGGCTACCCTGGGGGACAGGCAGGAAGTCCCTGATTATGTAATGATAGGTCAGCAATGTATCTCTTCCATTTCTGACAAAACTTGGAAACTTCAAGGCTGTCATCATCTTTTTTGTTGAAACCAGAATAGTCTGCATTTTTTCCTTCGCACTTAAAGCCAGTCCAGCTGTTGTTTTCAGTCTTGTTCCTCCACCAGCTAATCCTTTGCCAAAGCATGGCGTAATGTGGAAAACGTGCGTGTGCCTGTGTGAGCCCTCAGTCCAGCTCTGGGATCAGTTTCTCCTTGTCACACACTTGGAGGGACCTACCACCTTCCTGTGGGTTGACACACATGTGCCTTTGGGGATCAGGAGGGCCTGTTGAGCATTTTTCTTGAGTTGGGGGATCTGGCTCATGGGTAGAGGGTGGCTTCCCTCTTCTGAGATGTGATTTACCTGCCCTCAAATCGCACATCTCTCTCAGCCCCATGTCGTGAGACAAAGTGTTTGCTGTCCCTTTGGTTTCTCAACTGCCTCCTCACCCTCTGTCCTTCTGTGTTTGCAGTGGGAAGCAGACAGAGGGGAGAGCATTCAATCCGAGTGGCCGGCAAGGAGAAATGCGTCTATTTCTTTTGGCAAGGTCGGCACTCAACTGTGAGTGAGAAGGGAACCTCTGCCCTGATGACAGTGGAGCTGGATGAGGAGAGGGGTGCCCAGGTAAGGTCCTGCTCAGCGACTCCAAGGGGCACTGCCCAGCCTGCACCTGCCTCTGCACATGTCTTGTCCTCCACAGCCAATGTTGTATCTACAAGTGGCCAGTCCACAAAGCCAGGGCCAGTGGCCAGTGGGTATTTCCAAAGGTTTCTACCTAACTGATACCTGAAGAATTATAAATCAACAAGGAGATTCATTACCCATTTCTAAAATTGGTAGAGATTTTCCAGGTACTAGGTACCACAGGCCCCTGTGATGCTTCTCTCAGGAAGTTCCACTCAAGAGAACCATCCTGCAGATCACTGTGGGGTCGAGACCTTGAACACTTAGTCGCACCACTTACACCAGTCTGCCTGAGGAAAGTATCAGAGATCTGCATGGAACATGGAATATTCCCACTGGGTGAAAAATCAACCCAGCTTATTTTTTTCAGAGCACATTGGACTGTCTCATGGATTTAAGTGAACTCTCAATCATTTCCAACCCTTCCTGGTGTCCCTTCCTTACACATCTCCCAGCTTCCTCCTCCTCCCCCTCCCTCTCCCCCTCCCCCCTCCCCCTCCCCTTCCTCCTCTGCCCAGGCTGCTCCAGCCTGTTTGATGATCTGAGACACACCTTTTCACACTCTCCTCAGACCTTGTACCCTCTGGGCCACTTCCCTACACACAGATGTACCTGGAAACTAAGAATTTCTTAAAGCATAGCACCCAGCCTCTTAGGATGCAGGAAGCAGTTAGTCCCCCACCCCACCATGTTACTCAGATCCCTTCCCACACCTCCTTACTCTCCCATCCCTTTTCTGTGCTTCATCTCCTTAGAGTATTTTCTACCCCCTGAAACCACATAGTCATGGTATGGACTTACTTATTAGCCATCTTCCCCCAAGAGCAGGAATGAGACCCAGTCAGAGCTGGTTCTGTATGACCAGGCCCCAAAGAATGCCTGACAGGTTCCCCTGCCCGACTTTAGTGTTATGGAGATATTTCCTTTTAGGTTTTGGATGATCTACGCCTTGTATCTCATCCTTTGGTACCAGTAATTAAGAGCTGACTTTAAGGTTTTGAGAAAACATGACACCATATACAAATATTTTCCTCAGAGTGGATGAATGACTAAGACTAGCATGAGGGAACAGACCAGACAAATGTTCCCTGAGCCACATGCAGTCAGCCTTTTACAGTCCTCAGAACTGATCATCTTCCCTAAGAAAACATTGTAATACAAATTTTGTACTATGGAACATATTTTAGAAATAGTTGTTAGCAAGCGTTGCATTTTAACGTACTCAGAGTAGCTAAACCCAACCACTTTTTTTCTGTAAAGGCCATGGGTGGATAATGTTTTCATAATGCCTTAAAAGCATTTGTAGAATTTTGAGTCTTAATCTGTCTACACTGAGCATTTTATTTGTTTAGAAGTCTACCCACTGAAAACAACGCTGTGGACACTTGGTATAAAACACTGTCACAGGATGGCACTTGGTTGGCCTTTGTGTAAAACAGACCAAGATCGATTCTTGGCAAAGAATGCTTTCTATTGTCCATCGCACCGACTGCCAGCTCAACAAAACATTTCCTCTTTAAGGGGACATGCCCTACCAAAGTGAGAGCCAGTCTACTTACAGCTAGCATCGGTTGTGAACAGCTGACCCCAAGTGAGAGGGAATGTGCGAACAGGAAGAGGGGAGGGAGAGAACTGCGAGCAGGAAGAGGGGAGAGAGAGCATGTAAACAGGAAGAAGGAGGTTCTGTGAGAACCCTCTGTGCATGAGCAGACTTCTGGGACAGTGTAGTAGCTTTCCAGTACCTTAACAAATACCTGAGATAATGGACTTCAAAATAGAAAAGGTTTATTGTGGTTTGTGGCCAGCTTCACTTTTCAGCCCCTGATGAGGTAGCCTATCTTGGAGGAACAAAACCACTCATGTCCAGGAAGTGAAACAAGAGGCTGAGGTCCCACAGTCCCCTTCAGGGCCACGCCTCCATGACTTAAAGGCTCCCACTAGGCCCCACCTCTTAAAGGTCCCACCTCCTTTCAGTAAGGCCACATAAGGGATCAAGCCTCTGATTCATGGGCTTGGGGCATTTAATATCCGATCCATTGCAGGTGGTTACCAAGGATACATTCCCACCCCCAGAATAACCAAGAAAGTCATTAGTCATACTTGTGGCTGTGAGGTGGGCTTTGTTCAAAGTGTATTAAATTAATTGCATCACATCCATGTCACAGAAAAGCATTAAAATGCCATTATTCATGTTTCAGAACAATATTCAACAAAAGAAAAATAATGAATGATAAAAATGAGTATAAGACAAACTAATACCCTGATTTTTATTTAGGACATAATATAGACCTGAAAAAAATGCTTTGAAAGGATGCACCTAAGCATGAAAGCAACAGTTTTTATTTTTGCTTAACGGTACTATCACTGGCTTTTGTGCATGAAATCCTTGTAGTTTCCAGATTTCCTACAGCAGGCAGGCACTGTCTTGTGACCTTTAAAGCCCAGCCCTGCACTCTGACCCGCTGTGTTTAACTTCAAAGGTCCAGGTCCTGCAGGGGAAGGAGCCGCCCTGCTTCCTGCAGTGTTTCCAGGGGGGGATGGTGGTGCACTCCGGGCGCCGAGAGGAGGAAGAGGAGAACACGCAGAGTGAGTCACCTTTATGGTTGGAATTCGTAGGATTTTCTCCTCCCAGAGGGCATTTTTAAGGGTAAGGAGGTATAAAAGGAGTCTGTCTTCATCTAGCTATGGCTTTGCCAGTGGAAACCTCCTGGTGTTTGCCTGATAAATGAGCTTTTCATCCCCCCAGCACTACACAAGTGCACGGTGGAATTTCCCTCGGGACCCACCTTTGCATGGAAGAGGCTGGAAGATCACTTTGCCTTGAATTAAGATATCAGAGCATGCTTTTGAGGAGAGTAGAATAATGAATGGCTCATTTACTATAAGTTAGAATCTTTTGTTGGCCACCCTTTCTCCAAAAAAAAAAAAAAAAAAATCTGAGCTTTAGAACTTCGTGACTTACTGGGTAAATTCTGAAGAAAAGGTTTTTCTGCATCACAAGCTTTTGGTAACCTGTTTCTAACTAACTCCAAAATGATTGGCTTTCCGGAAGCCCAGGTGCACTCCTTGTTTGGCTGAATTCAGGTTGCAGGATCCCCAGTCTGCCCTGCTCCCTAGAGCCCCTGCCCTGTGTGTGGTGGCTGCCTGAGGACACAGCTAGGGCAGCACTTCAGGTCCCTGGCTCAGGTCCTAACTGTGCTGCTGGTGCCCCCTGCAGGTGAGTGGAGACTGTACTGTGTGCGAGGAGAAGTGCCAGTGGAAGGGAACTTGCTAGAGGTGGCCTGTCACTGCAGCAGCCTGAGGTCCAGGACCTCCATGGTGGTCCTCAACGTGAACAAGGCCCTGATTTACTTGTGGCATGGATGCAAGGCGCAGGCTCACACCAAGGAAGTGGGAAAGACCGCAGCAAACAAAATCAAGGAACAGTGAGTATCCTGGGCCTGGGAGGAGCTGTCCTCAGAAGGGGTCTCCCAGAGGTGTGAGAGCAGGCCAGGAGGGGTTGGACACCCATGGACACCTATTGCACATCAAGATGACATCAACAAGGGACAGCTGGGTGGAATGTGATATTCCAAGTAGGTGGGACCAAAGATCAGCCAGGACCTCTGAGGTGAGGTGTCTGCAGCTTTCTGAGGAGTCTTCTGCCTCAGTAAATGGCAGCAATGAACAGGGGTGGTGGTGCATGCTGGGAGCCCCAGCTACATAGGAGGCTGAGGTGGGCATGTGGCGTGAGCCCAGGTTTTGAGACCAGTCTGTAACATAGCAAAGCCCCATCTCGAAAAACAACAAGAAGAAACAGGCATTGCTGAGCACCAAGGAGATGACCCCAACAGACGCACTAGCTTCATCCTCGTAGGTGCAGTTCAGCTGTCAAGTTATAAGCCTGGAATCCTGTGATATTTAAAGAGCAAATTCTAAATTTCTTGCAAAAATTCTAAATCTTAGCTTTGTCAAAACAGAAGAGTGGGAAAAGCTAAAGAAGCACTTGGGAAGGCTGTGAGATTTTCCATTAGAAAACAGCACTGTGCCCCTTCACAGGCCAGGTCGCTTGCAGGAATTCCTTGGGCATAACACCCCAGTGTAAGTCTTCTCCTTCTCCCAGGAGGCACACTACTGAGCAAGGACCTGGGGAGAGGGTGCACCAGAGCCTTGTAATGGAGAACTGAGAAGGCTCTGTCACCCCTACTCCCACCCCATCCCCCAGCCTCTACCCCCACCCATCACCTGACCAAGTGGGCGGCCCTGTGATCTGTTCTAGCACCACACAGATGGGTATCACAGGCAGCCAGAGGAACCTCCTGGGAAGACCTCAGTAACTTGCCTGTGTAGCCACACGCACTACCAAAGCACAATGTGGCACAGCCCACTCTCCTGGCACAACACTGTTTAGCAAGGCCTGCTTTCCTTGTGACCCCTGGAAGAATGAGCTCTGCACAGCAAGGGCAGAGAGAGGAAGGAACACGTGTGAGCTTCTGGCTGTAGGACAGGAGAGCAGTCTCAAGCATCGCTCTATGGGCTGTGGAGCAGGAAGGGAGACACAGTGGTGCTCAGCAAGCTGTCCATGGGCACACAGGCCCCATCACTGTTCTTACCTGGACGAAAAAAAAGCAAAACAGGGAAGAACCCATTCACTCATTTACTTTGTATTCAGCAAATATGTAGTGAGCTCTTCGGTGCAAAGCATAGATTGAAGGACCAAGACCTGCCAGTGAATAAAGCCAAGTGTTTTTCCTCACGACCTGTATGTTCTCTCAGGAAAGGACAAGCGATAGAAAAAGTGTTGTGTTATATGTTAAAATGTGGATTATTGTCATTGCCTATCCTGTGTAATTCTATAGTCCTCTCTAGGGGCAAGTCAGCACTTCCTCTTCCAACACACACTCATACGCTAGAGATTATATTTTCACTCTTAGTAAGAATTGTTTTTAGTTAGAAAATACAACTGAGTGAGCTGATCCATTGATTTAGTCCTCAGTAGTTTTGTGCTGCTGGCTCTTTCCGGGTGTCCAAGAACCCACTGGAGTTTGTCCCGTGCAGATGCCCATTGGAAGCTGGACTGCATAGTAGCAGCAATGTGACGATACATGAATGTGATGAAGGATCTGAGCCCCTGGGATTCTGGGATGCATTAGGAAGGAGAGACAGGAAAGCCTACGACTGCATGCTTCAAGGTAACGTTGCCACCCATTGCCTTCCATCATTTTTTAATTCACTCTCTTTAGTTTATTCAGTACGTATTTATTCAATATGCAGTACATACAACACACAATGAGCTTAACCTAGGGCATGTCCTCCCAAGCCTACCACCCCATGGAGAGGGTAAGTAATAGGCTGTATGCAAGTGATTACAATCCAAACTACAAGTTGCTATGTGTCATAGAAGAGGTACAGTGGAGGGAAGCTGAGCAGAAGACTCCCACACAGCTTTATGGAAAGATGGCAATGCACAGGCCCCTGGAGGCTGGTGTAATGTGGAGAAAGGAAAATTCGAAGAGGCTCAGTGAGCCACAACACCGTGTAACCTATGGAACAGGACTCTGTCCAGTTGGCCCAGAAGCCAGGTTCTGGGAAGTAGCGGGAAGGCCAGTGAGAAAGGGCCACATCACAGGATCTTGATGGGAGGCTGGAAACCCTGAGCCCTTCATCAGAGTCACTGCTGGAAAGGGAGGATTGGAGGGCAAGGACCAGTGCTCCATGCATACCTAGGAGATGTTTGATGAGTCAGTGAACAGGAAAATTGGCAGCAGCCTGTGAACTTGAAGCCTGAAACTCAGGTTGGAGAGGTGATGACTAGGTGACATGACATGAGCTGGCCACTGGGGCAGGCAGGAGGAGGAAGCTGTGATCAAACCCTAGGTTCTTGTCCCTTCAGGGATTGACATATCTCTGTGAGAACAAGGGACACAGCCCTCTGAAAAGGGAAGAGTAAAATATCTGAGTCTGAGGTTGGGTAAGATTCAGAGATTACACATTCGTGGCCACCAGCCAGAACTCCCCATATAAAGGGTGGTGATGGAACACATGAAAAGTAGGTGAGCAAGGTTGTGGATATTGAGAAGGCTCAGGCAACTCCATTGATGGCACTAGGACAACAAAGAAACATCCATGGGACCGCAGGCAAGCGGCTGATCACCAACCAGGGCCAGCCAGCCTGCGGGAGATCCGTATGGCTGGTGAGGAGGTGAGTGGAAGCCAGTGAGCTGTCAGAGAAACTTCTGCCCGACAGTCTTCCACAGCTAGGGAGGTGTTTCCAGTTTTACTTTATCATTTGACAGCAAGAAGGAAAACACAGCACAGGCTATGAATCTTCTATCTGAAATGCTTGGAACCAGAAGCGTTTCTGATTTCAAATTTTTTTTTTCAGACTTTGGAATATTTGCATACGCATAATGAGATACTTCGGGATGGCACTCCAGTCTAAATATAAGATTGATTTATGTCTCATACCTTGAATAGTGAAGGTGATTTAGACAGTATTTTAGTGCTCCTATATTTCGACTGGGACCTATCATTCTAGGTCAGTTATGAGATTTTTCTACTTGTGGTATCATTTCTCTACTTAGAAAGCTTTGGATTTTTGACTATTTTGACTTAGGACTGCTCAATGTATAGTAGGAATGTCAGAGACAAAGGAACACTTTTAGGAACTAGATGACTGAATGTGTTACCTGTTCTTGGTGCCAGTTTTGGACAGAGCAGAAGAATTCAGCTGAGAAAAGGACTGAAGTATAGAACTGGTTGATTAAAGGAAGTCCACGAAGAGTAGGGATTAAGCACACAAGGGAAATGCAGCCTAGCAAGGGGATGACATCTTTGTTGTTGTCTTCTTCATGCCCAGTTGTATGCTGAATGTTATGAATTGGGCCTGTGAATAATCTTGCTGTCACCAAAGGTGACAAATGTCGGCGGCCCATGGGGCCTGGGCTACCCAACCATACTCCATTCATTGTTTTCTGAGTTTGTTGATCTGGGCTTTTCTTACACTAAAGATGTTTAAATCCTACCTAATTTTCTTGGTCCTTTATCTTAGTTCTTCAGTATAGCTGGAATTCAGCCTGGTGAGTGTGGCATCCAGCTGATAGGCCAGTTTCTCTCCCTAGGGGACAGCAGAGCACTGACACTTAGGCTCCCACTGGGATTCAATTCACAGCACCCTCGTGTCTTAGGAACTAGCTGCTAACCTAATGGCGGCCTTCTGAGAAAACAGCAGTGTTCTGGGAGTTGGGGTGCAAGTGTGAGGAAGAAGTAGACCCTTCTTATCCCCTTTAGCCCATCAAGTCACTGGTCCGGTTTGGAAAGATGGTGATTACTGCTATACAGCGTAGCTGTCTTGGTCTTCCAGGATGCAGTGCAGGCATGCAAGGGTTTACTTATTAGCATAAATAAAGCAAATCTTTATCAAGCAGTTCTGACATCTGAGGGACCATTTTTATGCTACATATTTTTTACACTAGCCCACCCCAACCAACCCTCTCCTATTTTTACAAATAAGGAAATGGGCAGAGAGAAGTGAATCACCTGGGGAGGGTTGGACAGTGATGTTTCGTCTACACAACCATTCTGTTCGTTGCTGCCTCTCTAGTTTCATAAATGTTGACACAACCTTTTATAGATAATGCCTACCAGTGACAGAAATTGTTAGAATTAGGCTGATGAAGAAGTAATCCTGGGTAATGTCTCTCAGATGCACCTAGGATTCATATTTTTCTATGCCATAAACCCCTTTTTCCCTTTCTTATGACTAAGTTCCTAAGTTGTTACTCTTTTAGGCTTCGTAGATTCAGAGAATTCCGTGAATTGATTCCACACTCTACTCAAGATATTTCTGTAGCTCGGGAGATATTTCCATTGTTTGCTGAATTATATAATCACTTTAGAAAACTTTAAAAATAAGTATGTGTGTTCATTCCTATTTAGAGTGAATTCCTAACTATGGCACTTGTATCAACACGTGTCCACTACAACGTTAATGCCAAGTTCCACTCTTACCAGCGATGGACAAAAGTGTACATTTCCCAACACAGTTGTAAACATAACACATTACTTGGTTTTCCTCTTTGCCAGATAAATTGGACCAGATAGCTCAGTCAGCTTTTGAGTGTTGTGACAAAGTCCCTGACCAGTCAACTTAAAGCTAAAAAGGGTTAGTTTGGGTCATGGTTCCAGATGCATCAGTGTTTCTACCATTAGCTAGCTCCATGGTCTCCAGGCCTGTGGCAAAGCAGAAATATCACAGTAGACGGACATGGCCGAGAAGAGCCATTCATGTCATGCCAACCGTGACAGAGGGCAGGCAGAGAGCCTGTGCTGACAGTTTCCTTCTCCTCCCTTTGTTCCATCTATGGATGGTCCCCCCACATTCGGGGTGGGGCTACCCCTCAGTGTGCTGTCCCACATGCCAAGCACCTCTGGAGATACCCTCATGGACACACCTGGACGTGTGCTTTGCTAATTTCCTGAGTGTCTCCTAATCCAGTCAGGTTGACAACCAATGGTAGCACCACACTAATCAGTGCTTTAATTTAACTTGTTTACCAGAAGACTGACACACTTAGCATATGTCTGTCTCTGTGTGTTTGTGTGTGTGGGCATAGCGCGGTTTCTGTTTGCCATACACATGCCTACACACGCGCACAGTGACAACATATGGGTTCACAAGATACATTTTTAGCTATATGTTTTTCTACTTTGGTGAATGTTTAATTTGTGCCTACTTTGGTCAATGTTTTATTTGTGCACATTTTATTTAACTGCTTGTCTTTTCCTTATTTATGTGCCTTCATGTATAAGGAAACTGCTGCATTACAAATGTTATTAAAACTTTTGTACTGTAATTTATTTTATTTTATTTTTTTATTTTATATAATCAATGCGTAAGTCTCTCCCCTTCAACTGCTTCTTTCACTGTTGCAACTGATAGTGTCTTCCCTGGGCTGGGACTGTACCTCCAGGTCTGGTGCTTACCTAGTATGCAGGAGGCCCTGGGCAACACACACACACACACACACACACACACACACACACACACACACAGGCTTTCCCATCTCCAAGCCCTGGTAAACGCTCTCTCAGGTCTGTTGATTCTTTGAATTGTTCCATGTTTTGTCATCAGTCATCTGGAGTTGGGTACATGTGGTCTTCAGCTCTACTCTCTTTTCTCTCAAAGATCCTGGAAGTTTTAACTTCGCACCACGCCTCTTCATCCTCAGCAGCTCCTCTGGGGACTTCTCAGCCACCGAGTTTGTGTACCCTGCCCGAGCACCCTCTGTGGTCAACTCCATGCCGTTCTTACAGGAGGACCTGTACAGCGCCCCACAGCCAGGTACCACCCACGCCTTCCTGATAGTAGGCACTGTGTTGTGCGATTTCTGTTTGCCAAGTACACTGCGGAGACCTTCACTGCGGGGCTGTCTCACTTAATCCTCACACCTACACCCAAAGGAAAGGGAAGGAAATCAACTGCATGCGACCGTGTAGAACTTACACTCCCACAGCACTTTTTCGCCTTGACAGTTAATCATAGGGAGGTTTGCCTGTGGCAAGGCCTAGGGCCTGGAGGCCTCAGGGATACACTGACCACAGCAAGATCTGTGGTAGTCCTGCTCCTCTCCAGGCCTTCCTTTCAGACTTGTTGCTTCATGGTCCTTAGTGTACTGTCCTTGCTCCCACCATCATGTTTGCCTTCAAACAGAAAAGCAGGGCATGGGGGAAAGGGCAGTATAAGCTGTGTTTCACTCTTTCATGAAATAAAGCAAACTACCTTCCCAGGTGCCCCCAGTCAACTTCTGCTCACATCCCATTGGCCGTATGTCACATGGACACCCCAGCTGCAAGGGACCATGGGAAAGCAAGTGGCTAAGGCCAGGAGGTTGAGGCACCTGTTGAGTTATCTCATGAACAGTGTGTGGCTCACTGAAGAGAAATACTCCAGTTTGGCTATTCTGATTCCAAGGTCAAGGCTGTCTCTACCAGGTCGCTACCACCTCCAGCCAGCAGCCTCTCTGCCCTCCTCTGGTGGGGAAGCCACCTACCCTCCTGCCATTGAGTCCACGGCCAGCCAGCCCTGAGCTTGTGATACAAGAGCCTGCAGCCAGGTGTCTCTCCTTGCTGTGTTGGCCCAGGCCTCTCCCAGAAAGCCTTGCCTTGGACTGGTGCGCTTGCCGCGCTGCTGGAGACATTAGCAGCTGTCGCAGAGGAGCCGCTGCTCCCTGACCTTCTTCCTGCTGGAGCTCAGGATGGATTTGTACTTTTTAAAGGGTGTGGCTTTCCCAGAACCCTGAAATATGTGCCAGGAAAGGCCAGGGTTTGCTGAGCCAGTGAATGGGAGAGCTCCATGCCATGTGGAGTAAGAGTCAGACGGAGGGCACGCAGGGCAGAAAATGAAGAGGGAGAAGCAGAACTTCTTTGCTTTTTGAAGCCCATTTCTCTTGGAGAAAACCATGGACCCACATCATTGCTAAGCACTAGGATGCACGTGAATGCTAAAGACCAGAGGGCAGGCTTCAGTTTGTATTATGTTCTTTGGAGACCTGCAGTGGCAATAGCTCCTCCATGACCCGCCACCACTCCACACCTCCCCCAAATAGCCATAGGCAGCCTGAGGTCAAGCAGAGATAAAGACTGAGACCCCAGAGGCAAGGGAAAGAAAGAGGCCACATTGTTACTGCCTCTTCTCTACCTAGGGCCTGCTCCAAGGGCTGAGATATGGGGGGGAGCTCTGTTTGCCCCTTTGCCCATGAGCTTGGAGATGTCACCTCTGACAAAGCAGAGGGGTGCATCCCTCATGTTTGGGCCACAATGAGCTGGCAGCCTCCACGCAGGCGCTCCTGATGGGCTCTGTCCTCGCTCCCCACAGCACTCTTTCTCGTTGACAATCACCACGAGGTGTACCTGTGGCAAGGCTGGTGGCCCATTGAGAACAAGATCACCGGCTCCGCCCGCATCCGCTGGGCCTCAGACCGGAAAAGTGCCATGGAGACCGTGCTCCAGTACTGCAGAGGTGAGGGCCAGGGCCCGGAGCGGTAGCCCCCCTTCCTGCTGCACACTCCCACTCCTGAGAAGGGCCACCAACCATGATGGAACCAGATGCCCCCTTTGACATTTTGAGGCTTGATAATTCTGCAATTTGTACATTCTTGGCTGCCAGAATGAAGGAGAACAAGTTTTTCTCTTTCATTTTATGAGGCCATCTACCTTGTTACCCTTGAGGCATGCTGCACAACACCCAGGTCGCCAACCCTGGTCTGCTTGAGATTACTCATGGTAAGAGATAGGTAGACCACCACCTTCTTCAGCGACCTCACCATCAGAGAGCAGAAATCTCCAAACTGGCTGAAAAGCCAATGCCAACTCTTTCATCATTTAGTATCTTTTAGAATACTACTACATCATATTCATAATACTATTCATAAAAAAAACTCATAGTTAATTCGTGGGAGTTTACTATACCATTTACCCAAAATACATGGTCTTTTATGTGAATGAAGATGACAGTAATTAAAGTTTCTGATTTTTTTGATGAACCTAATATGTGAGTATGTACAGTTCATTCTCTTCTTGAAAAGCTATCTCATAACATGTTCTATAACTTTACACCCAATGTTAATGCTACAGCATTAAAGGAAATGCTGTCCTTTGCTGTCTGGTGCCACTAAAGTGCACTATAGATTTGGCCATCAGAAAACCTCTCGAGGTGAACGAGAAGGATGTTAAAGACCCCCCAAGGCCTCCAGCGAGAGGCCTCCTGAGCCCTTCCAAGGACCTGAAAGTGTCTTGCTGGGGACCAGGAAGTAGACTCAGACCACCACTGTGATAGGCATAGGAGTGAAGGTGGCATTTTAGGTAACCATCACCCATGCATTGGTATGAACCACTCAGAGCCCACATGTTAAGCATGAAGTCTGAACAGAGACGCAGAGAACACTGGGTCACTGGGTCAGCTAACTTTGCATTCCGCTGCTCTTCAGGGAAGAACCTCAAGAAGCCACCCCCCAAGTCTTACCTAATCCATGCTGGTCTGGAGCCCCTGACCTTCACCAACATGTTTCCCAGCTGGGAGCACAGAGAGGACATTGCTGAGATCACAGAAATGGTGAGCACATGGCCTGCCCTGTGACCCCCTTCCTGTTGGGCCACTGCAGACTCCCCCTGGGGGAGAAGCATCCAGCTGCTTTTCACTATGGGATGGGTTTGATTTTCCTTTGCAACAGGTCTATATAGAATTAGCCTAGAATGAACAGAGGCCTAATAGGAAGTCAACTGAACAATGTGGGCACTTTTGGATATGTAGCTGTCAGAGTTTAAATTCTCCCATAGGTGAATTTACTTACTTTGAAGACTATAAATAGAAGCTACTTTCTATTCATCTTGTTAGCTAAGCAGGATTGCTTCTCACATAATACACACCGAAGTCTTCAGGTTTCAGATGTTAACCTTGCAAGAAGAGACACAGAATAAGCCTATGGTGAACGAATGTATTTCATTAACTGGACGTGTGATATATCCCAACTCACTTGTGAGAAGTTACTGCTTACGTCTCCTTTGGCCTTTTATTGACCACCTGGTATTACATGAAGCAGTCATGGCTTCTGCCTACCAATATGAGTTAGTATCCAGAAATGTTTTACTTTCCAACCACATAGACAAGAAGCTTGTCTTGTACCTGTATAGAATTGTGTGAGTTAACTTCACCAGTACTGGCAATGCCAAGGGTTTCTTTGGTTTGGTGGGAGATGTGTGTTTTCCCTTTGATTTTGTCACTGCAAGAGAAACATGCTTTTCTGGGTGAAATGATGTAAGTATGTTTTGGAGGAAACCTAAGTAATTGTAAACAAACCAAAGGTCTACTCCTGTGTAGCAACAGAAGGAGCTTCTGTAATGGTGCAACTGTTGCTGCTTAACCTAACCTGTTTCCCTGGGGCTGGGGGCTGGGAACCAAATCTAAGGTCTGGCACGTACTGGGCAAGTGCCTTACCACTGAGCTACACCCCAGCCCTTCTAATCTGTCTTACTGTAAGCAAGTGGATTTGACCTGCTCCAGGAAGCTGTACTTAGAGCAAAACAGTTCTATTTACAATAAATATGGGATCCCAAAACCCAAAAGCTGCAGGCATTGTAGGCAGCATGGCTGCCCCATGCAGTCTGAGTGCAAACTCATAAGCCACGATCCTGTGTGTGCATTCACTGTGGGCTGTGGGGCCAGCAGCAGGTTATGCAGTGCTGTGCAGGTCTGCGGGATTCCAGCCCGTGAAAACTCCAGTTTCCGCCCTCAGCAAGTTGCGCCGCTAACTAAGAGCCACCAAGTGCGTACTCTGTGTGAGGCACTGCCACAGATGCTTTGCTTTTATGTTCCCATTTAATCAGAAGGGTAAGCCTCCATGATGCATCTTAGTGTTATCCCATCTTCCTAGCATAAGAGCCAAGCTGCTTCAGTCACTTGCCCTGCATCTCAAGAGTCAGCGAGTGGAGGAACCATATGCAAGCGCAGGCCAGCCTTTCCCAAACCCGCCTCTTGGCCCCTGGTCTGTCGTGTCTGTTGGGGACAGCTCTTGGTTATCCCCAGAATATTCTAGGTGCATTTTGTTTCTGGTGCTGGGATCAAACACAGGACCCCAGGCCTGCTAGGTAGTAGTCCACACTGAGCCACATTCATACCTTTAATTTCCTATTATGGACTAAAAGATGAGGCCAGGGGAAAAGGTAATAGGATGGGATTGTTTGCTTGCTTGCTTCCCCCCCCCCTTTTTAATGTATTTGATATGGGGTTTCATTGTACAGCTTCGACTCACAATGATCCTCCTGTTTTCAGCCTCCCCATCCCTGGGATTACAGGCTTGTGCCACCACATCTGGTCTCAATGGCCAGCTCAGCACACTCAGGGGCAGGGCTGGTGCAACCTGTGGTATAGGGGATCAAACCCCAGTCCCTGCACTTGCCTAAGCAAGCACTTAGTCCACTGAGTTATCTCACCGGCCCTGGAGTGGGACTGCTATTAAGGTTACCTTGAAATATCTATAAACACATTCTGTATGTGAACTATCTATAAACACTTCAAAGCCAAGAATCTTCTCCCTTAATTTACTCACAAGGAAGCACTGAGACAGGACTTACTAGAATCATCATGGTAGGTTGAGAAAAGTCAAGAGAACCATAAGCCTTTAATCAGTTCCTTTGTATTCAGAGCCCTGTTCCCTCCCCAGTGAAGGAAAGCTCTAGAACAGGAATGGTACAGAGGGAACAGAACTGCATATTTACAGGTTATCTTAGTCAGCTTTCCGTCACTGTGACAAAATACCTGAAAGAAGCAACTTAAGGAAGAAAGGTTTGCTTTGGCTCACCTGTTAGAGGCCTCAGTCCATGGTTGTCTGGCTCCATTGCCTCGGGGCTTGTGGCACGTGAGGTGCGCATAGAACAACAGAGCTGCTCGCCCCACAGTGACCCCAAAGCAGAGGGAGAAGAAAGCCCTCAGGGAGAAAGGGGCTGGAGATGAAGTACACTCTTCAAAAGCACAGTCCCAGGGACCTGCATCATCCAACTGGGCCCCACCTTCCAGTGAACCCGCTGCACTCTGGTCTCATCAGTGGGTTAATCCAGAGATGAAATTAAAGCCCTCACCTTCCAGTCACTTCCACAGAGCCCAGCAGCTGGCAACCAGGCCTTCAGCACCAAGAGCCTTTTGTGGAACGTTTTAGGTAACAGCCATAAGGCAAGCCCTCGGTGAAATGTGTTCCGGGGAGGACCACACAAAGCTCTTCTCTCTGTTCCCCCCACAGGACACAGAGGTATCCAATCAGATCACCCTGGTGGAAGACGTCTTAGCCAAGCTTTGTAAGACCATCTACCCACTGGCTGATCTCCTCGCCAGGCCACTGCCAGAAGGCGTTGACCCTCTAAAGCTTGAGATTTATCTCACTGACGAAGACTTCGAGGTAAGCGGTGTGCTGGGGGTGGGATTTCAAGGCAGCCGCCCCAGCAACCCAAGCATCCCCTCACTGGGCCACCTGGTGTCCCCTGTGCTTCCTCAGTTTGCACTAGACATGACCCGAAACGAGTACAGCGCGCTGCCTGCCTGGAAGCAAGTGAACCTCAAGAAAGCAAAAGGCCTCTTCTGAGCCGGACAGACCCAGGGCCCCTCAGCAGGCACCTTCAGTACCCAGTACCACTGCACAGAAAAACCGATGTTTTGGGAAACTTTTTTAAAATATTCTTAAATCGGAGTTTTTTTCCAAACCTGACTTTATTAACACCACCACTTGTCCCAGAGTGGTGTATTTTGTAAATGTTTAAGAGAACTCTTCGGAAACTTGCTCTCCACAATTCTGCTGGTGATGTCAATAAAAGTGTCTGTCGTGTAGACCTCCACAGTGACTCCTCAGCAGCCACTATAGCCTGCCCTTCTGTTCCCACTAGGCGTTGCCTTTGTATTTTTCTTTTTTTGAAGCAGTTCTCTTTATAAAGTGTTATTTTGATAGTTTGTAGATTCTAAAATATATATATATATATATTTATATAAACACCATATAAATCAAATATGTATTTAACAAAGCAATCTGTATTCACTTTTCAATTTTTGCTTTTTGATGTCAAAAGGTTGTTACCCAATAGTGGCAGTGGCTTCTGTTGGATTAGGTCTGCCACCCAGCCGTAGGTCCACACAGGTCAGAAGCGTCCTTCTGAGTTAGGCCTGACTGGTTCTGAGTGCTGCTTCCGGTGCTAAAATGAACAAAGAATTTGTACTTACTGGCGTGGACTCCGAAGAATCTATGTGAATCCACCTTTCTACCTTAATATCTCCCCTAAAATGTATAGTGCCTTGTTTTTATGTACAGTTTATATACAGAAAAGTTTGCTCTGGGTTTTTGATGCTGGTACAGAACACTGCCTACAGTTTTGTTCTCAAATAGTAGAAATAAAAACATCTCAATTTGTAAAGCCAGTTGTAAACATTACACGTCATTTTGTGACCTCAGACTCCAAAATAAAAACTTCAGAATAATCACAACAATGAATTGACTGCTTCGCATTGAAGTCTTAAGCATGTTGCTTTGCGGGAAAAATGTATTTGTACTTATCAACAGAACACCAATATCTTGTCATTTAATATTAAGTGCGCGAATAAAAATTTTAAGGAATAAAAAGGAAAACAAAAAAATTAATGCTCTATATTTAGGCCTAGATTTTATATAGAAATATAGGATAAAATAGGCAGATACTGGACCCATAACATTAGTTCTAAATTCTGCAATGGAGGTACTTCTGTATACCACAGTTTATCAGAAGCTCAACTCTACAACTATATTGACATTTCAGGATCAGTGGCTTTAAAACATGGACATAAGAGGCATCTAGAAAACTCAAAATGGTTAGAAAACTCCTCACACACACATACAGTCTTAAAAATGCCAAATCCAGTGCTGGGGTTGTACCGCAATGCTAGAGTGCTTGCCTAGCACACATGAGGCTCTGTGAGGTACACCCAAAGAAAGAAAAAGGTTCTGTGGATGGACCTTGAGCTCACAGGGTCACTGCGCCTTCCCTTAAATCTAAGTCAGCCATGTCTGACAAGCACATATTTACCTTAAATGTAATAACTTGCTCACATGCCCTATCCCTCCAAGGCCTGCACGTTCGGGGCCTGTGGGCTGCTCCGGGCTGCATCACGTGATTTTGTGAAACTGGGAAGATGCTGAACTTCCCTGCCTTGATGTCCTTAAGAAAGGAGATCCGGCCTTCATTCCAGGATCTTTGGCAAGGATCAAAGGCAAGAGGCTTGCTGGTGTTCATATCAACATGGTGGTAGCAGAAGTAGGAAAACTCAGGGATACTATCATACACCTGAAGATTATAGATCAAATAAAATCAAGTAGAGGGAGGACAGCATCTATGTCCCTCAGGGTAGAGTCCTAAGAGGAGTGGAGAAAGGTTTCTAGGGAGGATAGGGCAACCTGTGAGCATCCTACAAAACAGATACAGGGCTGTAGACATCTGTGACAGGGTCAGGAAAACGCCTGGATTCTTATGTACATGGGAAGTGTATTAGAACCAGTGAAGATAGGCAGTTGACCCATAGGTGGGTAGGTGGATAGATGGATGGATGGATGGATGGATGGATGATAGAGGAGAGGGAAATGGGAGAGGGAGAGGGAGAGATGAGAGAGAGAGAGAGAGAGAGAGAGAGAGAGAGAGAGAGAGAGAGAATAAGAGCAGGTATTTCTTCCGTATGGGCTAACAATAAGGCTCAAGAGAATACAGAGATGAGGCCTCCCTAGGCTCTGATCTCCCAAGGAGGCTGCACTCCAGGGAAAGCAAAAATAATGATAGCTCAACAAGAAGTATAAATAATGATGCTGTCGGACTCTATAATGGGTTAGATTGTGCTGCTGCCTTCCAAAATTGTCTTAACTGCAAGTCAACCTCATTTGGAGATCTTTAGATAACCAAATTAAATGAGGGCAGTAGGGTGGGCCTAAACTGATGACTGGTGACCTTACCTGGAGAAGGAGTCTGGACACCACCGGGACAAGCACATGGACAGGGAAGACCTTTTGAAGACATAGCAAAGGCAGCCACCTGTGAGGCAGGCAGAGGCCTCAAGACAATCCAACACTAGCAGCACGTTAAACTTCTGACCTCCAGAAGGGTGAGGTGATGGCCTGTTGCTTCCCACATAGTTTGTAGTCATCTGTAAAGCAGCTCTAGGGCCCTAAAATGACCTTGACAGGTGGGGCTTGCCAGTGCAGGAAGGAGGGAGGGGAAGGAATCAGGATGGCTTCCTGGAAGAAGTCTTGTGGAAGAGGCCTGGAAGGGCTGGTGGGATTTCTCACTGCAAGTGAGCTTCTGTCCGGCATCAGTCCCAGATGAAGACTTGGAAGGCTCAGAGGGGGAGGGGAGGCCAGGCCAGGTCACCAGGGCAGCACAGCTAGGATGAGGGCATGGCCGTGAGAGCCTCCTGGCTGAGAAGAGGAGCATAGAAGGAAAGGCTTGGAAATGGTCGGGCTGCTTCACATGCAAGAAAAATCCGGCAGTGCCTGCCCTGGCTTCATCGGGAAGGTGGGCAGTGCCGCAGCCTCTCCACGATCAGGTGTTTAGCCCCTTTTTAGTGCTTCTGTCCTGTGCCTTTATACTCAAATCAAAAAGGACTCAGATTCATTACATTCTCTTCTGGTCTAGTGTCCATAAAGATGACTGCGGCCCCGGGGAGATGGCTCAGTAGAAAAAGCACTTCCCTGGCAACCACAAGGGCCTGAGTTCAATCCCCGGTTCCACCAGAAAAAAAAAAAAAAAAAAAGACTGCAAAAACACAGTTCTGAAATCTCTACACAATAGTATTTTTCCTAGGTATCATAGCCAGGATGAAGCTCAACTAAACCTTGCTCTAGTCTTAAAAGCTACTCAAAAGATAAGTTATTCTGTTGCATTGAAAATAGTGAGAATTTCTGATCTATTGGTATTTTTAATGATTAATATTTTTTACTCTGAAGCTAATTTTTTTCTGTGCTTAGAATGGAACTCAATGCTCATACCTGCTAGGTCAGCAACTCTACTGCTGAGCTACATCGCCACCCCCAATAAATTTCAATTTAAAAAATAATGTTTATTCTTCTTTCAAAACACCTTTGAAGGACCCTATGAAAGTGATTGGGTGCTATCAAGAATATTCCATGGCATAGAAGACTAAAGGGACTTAGCTAAGATGACAGACCGACATGTTGCCTGGCACCTTGGTTACCTCTGCTCCATCTGAATTTTATTATGATTGCATACTACAGACAAACTCAGCCCATGGCCATCTCTTCTTCCTGTTAGGGAGGGGTCTAGGGAAAGAACCAGCCCTGTACAGTGCCACCTTTGATTGCATCAAATCCTTATGAGCGGGCCATCACGGTGCAGATATTCTTGTGCCCAAAAGGCTCATGTACTGGACGCTGGATTCTCAGCGTGACATTGCTGAGGTAGTGGAACCTTTAGGAGGCCTGGCCTAGCAGGAGGTAATTAAGTCATGCAGCTCCACTCCCATGGATGGGTGGGTGCTGCCTTCTGAGACTGGGACAAGCCTGGCAGGAAGTGGATTTGTCCCCACCACAGAGCATGTGAGCCACGGCTCTGGCTCTCGCTTCCTCACCTGTACACAAGGCCAGATTTCTTTCCACTCTTTGACCAGGCTTGGTCAGAAAAGGGGGCCTGGCAGCCACCAGCACCATGCTCTTTGGACTTCCAACTTTCAAAATCATGAATCTAATAAACTTATTTCCCCAATGCAGTAGTGTCAGGGATTCTATCATAGCAACACAGCATGGATGATGACATGATCTTATGAGGTGCTGTCACCCCATTTTACAGATGAGGCTCTCAGAGGTTCACTTCCCTCATGCTGGGGAAGGGAAGATGCTCCAACTCTTTCTTACCCTCCTGTCTCCACACAGAGAGCGGACACTAATTCTTGGTCTCTGACTGGCCAATGTTAACCTGTATCTCCTGTTCCTCTCTGTGTCACTTGTGTTGGAGGCAGCACATCTGGAAGAGCCACAGTTTGCCCTCACAAACACAGTAGCAGGGAAGATATGTCTCCCAAGGAAAGAGGTTCCAAGCCCTGCTCTGCGCCTTGGAGTTATCTACCCCTGACCAAGTTACCCAACCTCTCTGTGCTTCATTCATATGTAGAGAGTACACTGATGGTAACTTCCTGCACTACATGTGGCAGCAAAGTGAGACAAAGTATGCAAAGGCCCAGGCTGGCACACAGCAGCAGTTCAATAATAATGGACAAGGACACTCTTGGAAGTGTTTCCCACAGAAGCAAGGCTATGTGGTGGCCCATGACATGAAAGGAGATGAGGAATCCACGGATGCTTCTGCAACCTCAGCCACGTGAGGTTTCCTGAGGGTTGGGGCTGAGGGCCAGCACTCCACCAGCAGGAATCATTGCATGAGACAGTGGTCTGGATAGGAATTCAACTGGTGGCCTGGTATTATGCATGAGTGAATGGTGAACACAGGTCTTTTTGGGACTTAGTCCTGATCCTTATTGAAATCTAAAGTTGATAGCCTCAACTACATCTTCAGAATGGGTTGGTGTATGTAAAGCAGAGGGCAAACACCCATTGGTGGGGGAGGGCAGCCCTCCCTAGTGGGACACTGTGTCCACCACAATGGCCTCAGAACTGTAAACAGACCTGCAAGATAATGATATTGTCCTGATAGTCTGGGTCTTGAATGTTCCCCTAAAAGGCGGTGTAGAGGTTTGATCCTCAGCCTGTAGCCCTACCAAAAGGTCATGGGACCTTTAGGAGTCTGGTTTAGGAAGTGGGGTAACTAGAGAAAGCCCTTGAAGGGCCTCCTCCTTTCCGCCTGGCTTTCTTCCTGGCACACATGAAGTGAGCAGCCCTTCTCTCCCATGTGCTCATCCATGATGTCCAGTATCACCAAAGCCATGGAATGAAACCTCTGAAGCCGTACACCAGGGTCCACCTTTCCTCCTTTGACATTCACTGTCTCAGGTATTTTGTCACAGGAATGGAAAACTAATGAATGCAGTGTCCCCAGCAACCACCTTCTGGATAGGAAAGATGACAGGATAACCAAGTGCCTCACAGGAGTCTTCACAAGGCCAAGTTATGACCATCCAGGGTCACCATCAGCCTCTTCTCTTCCATCCACCCCAGACCATATATTACCTAAGGAAGGACTTCAGCTCCTGCTCTTCCGACTCATTTTCTACCACCCACCTGGGACACAGGGCTCCCCACTTCCTCCTAGCGTCAAAATCTTTCAACTTCCAGTGATATGTCACCCCACTCCCCACGGCGACTCAGTCAAGTCTTAAATCTCATCAACACTAATTTTAATCCATAGGTGATATGTTTGTGTGAGATATTTGCTACTATATTGAAATGGCCTTCTAACAGATTTATAGTAGTTCTCAAATAACCTATCAGCTGCATCTCTCCAGCAGGTGCAGACTAGCTTGTATGTTTCTTGCCCCTGTCAACGGCGCTTACAGGAAGAGCCA